TCTCTAAGGCTACGTGTTTCCTTACTGTCTCTGTAGACTTAGGCTTATCAAAACTTATTCTTAGCTAATATCTGTGTATGCTTATAAATAGTAATAGCTATATAGACTTAGACACTGTTGCGTTTGTAGCAAATTTAGCACTTAGAAAGAGGTTATTTTAATTATTTTATACAAAATCTATATAGGCCCTTAGATATTGTTTTATCTTTATATTAAAGATTTCTGTCTGATTATCTGTCTATAAATAGTAAGTTATAGATAGCTTCGCTTTGACTCCTAAGATTTAGTATTATTATTTCTACACTTTGCTAGTAAACTAAGGCCTTTAGTTAGATATAATTGTCTAAGGAAGCCTATAGAGCTTCTATACGTTCCTATATAATATCTTAGCTGTCTCTTTTGAAGTCATGCCCTCTTTTGCAGCTGTGCAAAAGATATAGTAGTATTTCTTACTTAACTAATTAATAATTACTAGAACAGTATTATAGCCTTCTGATATCAGTAATTCTGTAACAAAATCCATTAAGATATCTTGCTAAAGGCGCTCAGGAATCAGAAGAGGTTACAATAGGCCTGCAAAGAGCTGATACACAGGTTTAGTCCTCCTGCAGATATGACAATTCCGCAAGAATCTCCTGACTAACGTGTATCCATTCGAGATGTAGTACCTACTACTCACAATAGCCTTCCTTGTCTTTGTATGGCCTAGGTGCCTAGTCTCCTTGCTCTTGTGGATCTCTCAAATCACGTCCGTCACCATTGCTGCTAGTACTGCCAGTTTTTCTCTGTACCACAGCACTCCTTTCTTGTCTTTACAATTTTGAATGTTATACCCAAATATATTTTCTTCTTTAGGTTCTTTACTTGTTTTTCTATCCTAATCGTGTTAAACGTCTTATTATTCTAATTCTTTTTCTCTATCCTTTTTTAGAGCAGTAAATCTTCCTTCTTTAGCAACGCTTATATTACTAAGATCTTTAGGTTATCTTTAGGCCTTTAGTTAGATATAATTGTCTAAGGAAGCCTATAGAGCTTCTATACGTTCCTATATAATATCTTAGCTGTCTCTTTTGAAGTCATGCCCTCTTTTGCAGCTGTGCAAAAGATATAGTAGTATTTCTTACTTAACTAATTAATAATTACTAGAACAGTATTATAGCCTTCTGATATCAGTAATTCTGTAACAAAATCCATTAAGATATCTTGCTAAAGGCGCTCAGGAATCAGAAGAGGTTACAATAGGCCTGCAAAGAGCTGATACACAGGTTTAGTCCTCCTGCAGATATGACAATTCCGCAAGAATCTCCTGACTAACGTGTATCCATTCGAGATGTAGTACCTACTACTCACAATAGCCTTCCTTGTCTTTGTATGGCCTAGGTGCCTAGTCTCCTTGCTCTTGTGGATCTCTCAAATCACGTCCGTCACCATTGCTGCTAGTACTGCCAGTTTTTCTCTGTACCACAGCACTCCTTTCTTGTCTTTACAATTTTGAATGTTATACCCAAATATTTTCTTCTTTAGGTTCTCTACTTGTTTCTCCATCCTAATCGCGTTGAACATCTCGTCAACCTGATTCTCTTTCTCTACCCTCTTCTAGAGCAGCAAATCTTCCTCCTCTAGCGACGCCTGCACTACCGAGATCTTCAGGTCGTCTTTCACCTCTTCAGACAGCATGTCTAATTACAGAAGGGTCTAATACAGATTAGGATCCTCTTTTGCTCTTAGGATCTCAGTTTCCCTTTGAGTTAATGCGTTAGCTTTTCTGTTAGTAGCTCCTAGGCGATATCTGATCTTAAAGTTATATTAAGATAATAACTCTGTCTAACGTGCTTGCTAACGTGTCAGCTTCTTTATTAATATAAAATACTTTAAAGCCTTATAATCTGTAAGTACTTGAATAGGATCCTCTCTTAACAAGCGTAACTCTAGCAACTATTCTTTAAAGCAGCAAATAATAGTTAGTAGTTCCTTATTATAAATAGCATAATTACGCTCTGCTAGCGCCATGCTTATTAAGAAGAATATTACTAGATAGAGTTCTTTATCTTCGCTTCTTTACAAGAGTATACCACTAATAGTATAATTGTTAGTGTTATATTTTATAACCGTCTCCTTCTTAGGATTAAAATAAGCTAGGACTAGCTCCTTTAAAATCAGATCCTTTAGCGCCTAGAATGCCTCTGTATAACAGTCATCTTAAATACGCCCTACATTCTTCTTTAATAAGTCATTCAGTAGCCTTGCTACCTTGCTGAATCCTAAGCAGAATCGTTAATAGAAGTTAATAAACCCTAGGAATCTCTGCACTACGCAGATATCTCCTGGCTTGGGTTTCTCCCACTCCTGAACAACTTGTACGCGCTCTAGATCCATCCGAATGCCCTTTAGAGTCACGATCAAACCGAGATATTTCACTGACTGCGTGTAGAACTCGCATTTCTTGATGTCAGCCTGAATATCACTTTCGCGGAGAATCTGTAAGACTTCCTGTACGTGTTGCTCGTATTCTTCTCTCGATTGGCTGAAGATCAAGATGTCGTCTAGGTATAGCACAACAAATTTTCCAAGCACTTTCATGAATTTCTTGTTCATAAAGTGTTGGAACGTTGCTGGCGCAGAGGTCAATCCGAATGGCAATACCCTATATTAGTAGTTGCTATACGTAGTGCTAAACGTGATAAGTTTGCAGTCCTTCTTGGTTGCTAAACGAATCCGGTAATATACCTGTCAAATATCTAGCTTAGAGAAGACTATAACTTTTCTAAGAAGACTTATAGTCTTGTCAATCTGAGGGATGACGTAGCTATTCTTCTTAGTAATAGCGTTTAGATCCCTAAAATCGATACAGAAATAGAGTCCCCCTTAGGGTTTCTGTACCAGAAGAATTAGTAATGCAAACGAGGCAGTGCTTAGTTTAATAAACCCTTTCTCAAGATGCTCCTTGATGTATTTCTTGACCACCTTGAGCTCCTCTGGGCTTATCCTACGCAGGGGCTGCGTCTGTGGCAGCTTGGCACCTGCTTCCAGTTCGATCTTATAGTCGTACTCCTCCCTGTGCTCCGGAAGAGTATCAGAAGCCTCCTTCGAGAAGACATCTGCGAATTCTCGAAATTCCACTGGAAGAACCTTCTTCGGGTCTGGTTCTGGCTAGATTTGTTTCTCAACATGTTTATTTATGTCCTTTATTATAATAGCAAATATTTCTGTATCAGGGGTGGTTGATAATTGCTTGAATGCTGTGATGCTCACAGGCTTAGTACTATACTAGGCTGCCCTGGCCTCTTTAACCTTCCTTCTGTAGGTGGTAGCTGTGGTTGTCCTGCTACCTAGAGTCTTCTTTATCTTAATAAGGCATAGAGGTTATGAAACGGCTGAGGCTGTCTTAGGACGCTTGAGAATCTTCGTCACCTGTAGTGGTAATGTCCTGATTAGGTTAGTCTGAAATTTGGCTATACATGTATAGCCAAATTTGTCATGTGGCTTCTTTATCAGCTCTTCCTCTGCTGCTTACTCCTCAGCCTTAGACTTATTACTTTAACTCTTGCAGTTCTGCTAGAATATAAGTTACTCTTTATAATCGTAATCCCTTACAAACTTTATTAACAAATCTCTAGGATCTGGAATACAGCTATATAGCCTTATCTACTTCTTCCCTAAGATTATAGAGTACGCAGTCTTTATTATATAGAAGATCTGTAATCCCTGCTAGTGTTCGCTAACGTGTATAAGTAAATAAAGGGCTTGAGAAATAGATTAATAGATTTTACTAGCAAAATCAGAGATAGAAATAGGTTTGGTCAGGTCTATTATATTAATTTGTAACCTTTCACAAAGTTGTTCTGCTAATTAATAGTCTATAACTACGCTTAACCAACATCCTATATCTAATAGTGCTAATACTATTAATTTTTCTCTTCTCCTTCTAATGCTGACGTTAACTAGAAATAGAGCCTCGAAATCATTCTCTGCTACTGTAATAAGGATCCCTATAGCTTCTCTATTAGTTGCATTGCTAGGCCTGCTTACAACGTCTTAGTAGCAGGCAGCTCTTTTCCCGATTGCTCTTGTGCCTGAGGGCAATCCTTTATATAGTGTCCCAGTTTCTTGTAATAGTAGCACTTTACTATAAATACATCTCTCGGAAGTCGTGGCTTAGCTACTAGCTGATCCTCCTTCGCTATTAATTTGCTAGCAGATTAATAGATGCTAGGAACCGAAGGTTTTGCTAGCATGCTAGTGCTAGCTACTAGTTTGTTTAAGGCAATACGTTGACTATTTATATTAGCGTATATTAGGTCTGTAATTATCTCCTAAATTAACATATATCTGTAAAGAATAATTACTTGCTTTAGATTATCTTGAACCTTGTCTTGAAGATTTATAATCTAATCCTCTTCTTAGACCTTTGCTTTATAAAAAAGCCATCAGAAATCCCTTAAGAATGTAACGAGGTCCTGCTGCTCTTACTATAAGTAGTGATACTCCTTACAAGCAGTCCCTTATTAAAACAAAGAATCGAATTAAGTTAAAAGATCTGCAAATATATTAGAAATCTGAGCCTTCTTAAAGTCCTTGAAATATGACTTAAGCAATTCCTGAGCATCATTATCTGTGCGTGATTATATATAAGTGACCTTAGATAGCTTTGTCAAAAAGAACGCCGCGTTAATCATGAACTTTATCTTTATAGCTGATAACCAAAAGCAAAACTTCTAAGGAGATCCATTCTCAAAGACCTCTGGATGAGGCAGCTTCTTAGTTTTCGGGCTAAGCACTATCAAAGGGCTTGGAGTTGCTTCTAACGAGACTTGCCTTTAAGGCGGCAATTCTTGTTCTGTCGAGGTTTCTAAAGGAGACTCTACCCGAACTTGCGGCTTTAGTATTACGGTAATCTTGTCGCGGAGGTTCTGAATAATCTCCTCCTTGTCACAGAGTCGATCCTTCAGAGCCTTAATCTTGATGCTGGTGCCTCCGTTAAGGTCTTGGTATCTTTCTTTCTAAGTTTCCTTCTCCTGGAGGACTTCTTGATGCTCAGCCTCCTTCTCTAGACGGAGGGCTTTTTCTTCCTTGTAAGCAGCTGCTAATGTTAGTATAAATGCCGCTGTGTGTGTCTGATTCTTGTTGACCAGTGCCATAAAGGCTGGAAGAGCTAATGGATCATCCGTCGCTCTCTCTGCGTGCTCGATCAATGCGCGCAGGGCGTCTTGATCTGTAGGAGGGGCTTCGTCTAAGCTCTGCCTCCGGTTGCTCAAGGAAGGATAGCGAACTTTGCCACTTTCCCTTCTCTCTGTTTGATCATGAATCATCTTGACTTGATAGTTCTCAAACCTTTGTACAGTATAGGGTGTTTATATCGAACGGACCTTGCGTTACTCCTGGAACAACGACTTTCTCATACAGTTAAACAACCCTAGATAGGTTCTCTAATAGCTGTGCTACAGATAAGAAAGTTTTGTATCGTCTCTCAGAATAGCGAGTAAGTGTTGAGCTTACATTTACTGTAATGGCTTAGAACTAGAACAAGTCAATAGTCTATAGATTGCTAAAATGTAAGCTAAAGAGTCTATCTATAGTGCGGCTAGCGCTTTACTCTATATATTCCTCTATTATACACAAGGGGTGCTACTAGTTAATCTGCGCAGAGGATCTGACAGAGTATCTATAAGGCTAGAAGTAGTAGCTTCCCTCTAGAGGAGATTATACTTCCCTAAAGAGGTCGTATTAATCTCCTGTTCTATAGTACTTATACAGGGAGCCACGTGCTGTACAGATGCCTCTATCAGCAGCATAATAGCTTAATAGCAAGAGTTTTGTGTGCTGTTATAGATACGCTATCAGCGCTGCTATCCGAGTGCGTGGCTAGTCTTGTGTATTTCCTGCGTTATAACAGAGGAGATACTCCATCTATTACATAAATAAATAAAGCTTTAGATATCAGAAAGATCTACTTAAGGAGGCAAGGAGAAGTAATAATTATAAAGTAATTTAGCTTTTGCCTTAAGTTCTGAGGTGATTGCTTTGTTCCTATAAAGAGTAAAGAATAAGGCTTGTATAAAGATCCCTTGAGATTATTATCTTACTTACTTAGCAGTCTGTTATAGCTTTTCCTGTAATTTGCCTGCTTTTTATATATGTTATCTAAACTCTGTATATTTAGCTTTAGCTATTATATTACTCTTCTTATTACAGGCTTTAATAAACGCTTCTTAAGCTTATTTTATATAAGTAATATTATAATAATAATATAATCTTTAAGAGAGCTTAATAGCCTCTAAGTACTTTATAATCTAATATAATTTTGAGAATAAGTTAAAACATAGTTATAAAGTAGACTTATTAATTACTTATTTTATTAAGTTTATTAATATATTAGTATACTTATTAATCTCTTCTTTATTATAAAGAGGAAGAGAGTAAAAAGAGACTAATATTTTATTTAATAAGTCTAAGAACTTTTTCTAATTTATTTTCTTTTATAATTCTTGCTTATAAATAGAATATAATTTAAAAGTGGTTTGCTATTTCTATTCTGTTAAAACTAAGAATTTAAATATAATTTTATAATCTATTAGTAAATTTAGTAGAGAATCTATAAGAAAGATAAGATTAATAATAGTTTTTTAGGCAAATTATCTTAAGTGAACGTCTTTAGTAATAATTTTAAAAAAGAGCGTAAGCAAGATACTTATATTATGTGTGTAACTTAGTAGCATATTAGAGAGGAGATATTAATATAAATAAGAAGAATTATACTAGAATAAGTAGTATAGATTAAAGTCGCTTAAAAGAATATGTTCTTCTAGCATACTAAAGGCTTAGGAGAGTATATTAAGTGTGTTATAGTTCTTAATATTACTGTAATAAATAAAAAGTCACTTATAATTTGCAGAGTAACTATAACTAGATTATTTAAATAAAAGAGTTCTATTTAGGAATCTATTAAGATCCTCTTATTTATATAGTAATATACTTTTAATTCCTTAGCTCCTAGATTAACTAGGTAAATCTGCTATTAGCTAGATTATAAATAGTGCTACTAATAAGGTTATATTATAGTTCTTAGATTACTACTATATTATATATATTAATTCCTAGGTCTTAAAGAAGAGGGATAAAGACTTTTAGTTAAAATTTATTAATATTATATTAAAGGACTTAGAAAGTATATATTATTAAGAGGGTTAAGAGCAAGTAACTTTAATATTAGGGTTCTTTATATTTATCTTAAAGAATATTTGTAATTTATAAGCGGGTATTATATTAATAGCTTATAATATATTAAAGAGTATAATATCTAAGATTTATAGTTAGCTAAAAAGAGTCAAGGTCTTAGTTAGAAAAATAAAGAAGTAAATCGCTTTAAAGTTAATATTAATAATAGCTACTTTAGCTAAGCGACCTATAGAACAAGTTATCTTTCTTTTTTTGCCTCCTTTTACAAGGGTCTATCTTATAAGTAATCCTAAGTTAAGAGGGCAGCTATAATTAAATGTTTAAGAGCTAAGAATAAATAAGAAGGTAAAAGGAAGAGGGAAGAAAGAGGAGAGAAAAAGAGAAGGATAAAAGAGCGGTTTCTGACTCCTTATAATAATAGTGTGTTCTGTATTTTTAATTCAGGCTAGGTAGGCAAATAACTATATTTTATAGTTTCTGCTAAAGCATATAGTATAATACTTATAAATAACTTATAAGTCAGACAGAGGAGTATAGTCTTATGTTTTATAACCTAGTTTATAATATTTATATTTTATCTTATTTTTATATAAGATATTAGTATAACTATTATATTTTTAATAGTTATAGTATTAAATAATATAGCTTTTCTTATATTAAATAGCTTTATAATCTTAATCTTATAGTATAGAATAATCTTTTTAAAAATCATGTGATTTATATATAAGAAGTATGTGACCTTAATAATTAAGAAAGAGAAAGCCTTAAATTAATTAAGCCTCTTAAACTAAAAGACTTTTTTAATTAAAAGACTAGGATAAAGCTTCTTATTCTTAGTCTTAATATTTCTAATTAGGAACCTAAGATTATATCCTTTTTTTCTAGTAATACTAATATTATAAATAAGTATAATAAAGAATTAGATATAAATCTTAGCTAATAAGTAGATTCTATTAATTTAGTTAAGGTTTAATTATAAGTATATTTTAGCTAAGGCGTCTTTAGCCTAAAGTATAAGGTTATTATTTAATAACTTTTTAATTATAACTATATTAGGGATATTAATAAGGTTGTTTCCTTTTATTTATAGCCTTTTTATAATTTATTTAAAGGAAAAGAGTTTAAGTAAGTAAATATCTTTTAAAGAGGTCTTAACTAGGATTTAGTTATTAGTATAAGAAGATTCTGATTAGGCAGGCATACAAGGGACAATAGTACTTATAAGACTAGTACAGGTTGCCTATATATAGCTTATAAGATTAGGGGTAACTTTCTAATTAATATCTAAGATAAGAGCTTTAATTTTCTCTAGTCTAATCTTGACTAAGGATGAATTATAGAAGGCTATATAAAGATATACATAGATAGCTAGAAGAAAAGGGGTAAGGAAAGAGAGTAATAGATTATCAAGTAGTAGAGAGAAGAGGAAGAGTAAAGATTTGAGTTTTTTAATTATACTAAGAAGACTGGCTCTTTGCGTTTTGTTATTAGAGAAAGCAGGAAGGGAGTAAAGAGGAGTAAAGAGCTATAGGATTTAAGAAGATTATTTATTATTAAAGGGCAGGTAGTTCGCTTATAAAGAAGGCGCGATTTAAGTAAGTAGTAAATCAAGTATAATAAAGATTAAGTTATATATAATA